GTCTGCGCTCATATTTAAAAATCAATTTGAAGGCATTGTCTCTATTTGTAAGTAGTATTTGTTTATTTTCATGTGTTCAGCTGGGTACCTTCCTGTTTAGGCTTTTCATTAAGCAGATATTTTGTTGTGGCTCGCTTGAATAATTTTTAACCCCTTGCTACCTTCCTTAGACAATCTGGGGAAGACAACAAGATGCTGGTGTGTGACACATGTGACAAAGGCTACCACACTTTCTGTCTACAGCCGGTTATGGACGCCGTTCCAACAAATGGTTGGAAATGTAAAGTAAGTGGAAAGCTTTCAGAACACTTCCTTGTCTTTACAGGGGCCCAAGCTTTGTTACCCACAATACCAGGTGTATTGTGGGCTCCTGTTGCTGTGTAACATGACTTGTGATCTCTGAAGGAGTCCCACTTGTTTGTAAATCCTGTGGCCCTGCAGCTGCTCCGTGACGGGAGCTGTCAGTGCGGTGGCTGAAGCAGCCTTTGTAGGACAGTAAATCAACCTCCACAGGGGAAAGAGAAGTGTAGAATCCAGGTGGAATGGATAACCTTCACTTGATAACAGCTGCTCTCATGATCTGTTGTAAACTAAAATGTAAACTCAAGCCTGTAAAATTGCGTATGTGATCTGTACTTGAAGGCTCTTTATATTCAACTACTTGCTTACTAGAGCAGCAGTTCTGTAGCTCACAAGTTCCCTTGCATTTGAGGAGGGCAGGATGAATTTGTTGGCTTTTTTCAGTAACTTCTTGAGTAAGTGTAAGTAATAATAAAAATATGATTTCAGCATAACAAGGGAAATCCCCGTGTATGAGATGTATGTAATTTTGTATCAGTTTGTGACAGTCACATAAAATGACTGAGATTAGCAATAAAAATTTTGGTCTCATAAGAAATACTGCTTTCAAGTCAGGGAGTAGTGCAAGGAAACTTCTTGCTGTTGTGCAGGTTCTTCATGGGCTGTTAGCAGATCCTGGATAATTTGTTTGTGTTACCAAGGACAAAAACTATTACATTTAGCTCAAAACAGGAAAATGTCAGTTAATGGCAGTTCTATCACATTGCAAAATATCATAATTAACAACTAAATTCTTGTGATCTCTAGAACTGTAGAGTATGTGCTGAGTGTGGCACACGAACAAGTTGTCAGTGGCACCATAATTGTTTGGTATGTGACAGTTGTTACCAACAGCAAGACAACTTATCTTGTCCTTTCTGTGAAAAACTGTGCCTCCAAGACTTCCAGAAAGATATGTTGCATTGTCACATGTGCAAAAGGTAAGAATCCAAATTTTTGTTAAATTGTACTAAAATACATAGAGCTTATGATGAGCTGTGTGACATGGACGTGTTTCTGGGAAGGGTGTGTGCTGAGTTTGATGTGCAGTGCTGCAGCATCTTGTGCAGCTTCTTGATCCTTCATCCCTAAATACAATGAACAATAGTGGGTGGCTTTATTTTAATCTCAGCAAATAAGCATTAATTGGCAGTTACCTGAGGGTACCTGGCAGTTAGTTGCCTGCTGCAGCTGCTTCTTAAATTGCACCTATTTTGTGAGGAAGCAGACTAGAAAAGGCATTATCTTAACATTTAAAAGGCTGTTGTTTGCAATGATCTGTTTTGGTTTTTTTTAATTTTCAAGTATGCGTTTTCTGGTTTTGTTTATATGTTTTCAAGTATGTGTTTTGCTATTCCAGTAATAAAAAAATAAATTAAAAAATAACACTATTTACATTTTAAGAATTTAAACTATGTTTCATATTCAATGCTATTGTATCTTGCTGTGCAATATGATGATGTTACTATACATGTTGTAGAGTCCAGTTGGTTTTAGGGACAGTTTAGGTCTTCATGTTAAATTTGTTCACAGCTTGACGTGCTGATGTATCATGTTTATTTTTTTTAAATTCTCCATAATAAAGCATTGGTTGAAAATCTTTATTTCCCCATTGTATTGGGAAACAGTGCTATTTTTAATTGGTTTTTACTATGATGCTTTATATTTTTGTTGTTAAGTCATGGTCACAATAAATTAATCTCCCCAGGTGGATTCACATAGAATGTGACAGATCTCCAGGTAGTGAATTGGAGTCTCAGTTGAAAGACTACATCTGCACTCTTTGTAGACAAGGAGAAGGGGATCACACTCAGTCATGTGATGTAATGAACACTTCTGAACTCATTCCTGAACCTGACAGCATAACAGGTAATCAAATGTAAACTTCACAGTTCCAAAGTGCTGACATCAAATATAGCATCTGTAGCTGTCTCAACAAGTCTTTCGTGAACCAGCCACTCATATTCTGCTCTGTGGAGTTCATCCATTCCTTTATTTAACAGCAGCTGCTCAAGCAATCCATGGGTGAGCTGTCTTCTCCATTTGGCTTCAGGATCCTGTATACAAACGTGGGCTAGTAAGCACCTTAATTGTGGTTCTCAGCCTTCCAGCTTCCCAGACTGTAGCTGTAAACTTCTCTAATTTTTTTTTTAATATGGTACAGTTCATAAATGTATTTATTTAACAGCCTGTTTTATTCATTTGTGTCTACCTCCCAGACAAAGTCAGCTTCTGGTAGATGTTCCTGGAGACATCCAGTTCTCTCATTTCTCCCTTGCTACTTGCCAGTCTCATAGTGCCCCTGCCCCTCACTATGTCCAGGAAGGACACAGCAGTAGGAACTGGACTGTGTTCAAGGGAGAGGTGTATATTTAACTAAACAACTTTTAATTGGGTGTCCTTTTTCAAAGCAATATATGACTAGTCACCTTATTTCTGAAAGATTCTTGTCTAAGTGGACAAATCAAGCAGAAGGTGGAAAGGAAAGTTGTGGAGCAGTGTCAAGTATTTTATAAAAAATTACTCAGTAGCAGTAAGGAGGCACAGAGGGAACTTGGATCTGTTGATCTGAGTCTGGTGGGTCATCCACAAGAGCTGTGCAATGAGCTCTTAACTAAATGCCGTTGTGCATTTCACACCACGAGCTCTGTCGGGCAGCACCTGTGCTCCTGCTGCCTGAATTTCCCTGGGGAAGTACAGTTGTGGTTAAATTTAGAAGCAGGTAAAATGTAACAGATTAACTGCCATGTGCATTTTTTATCCTTAAACAGCAGTGCTTGTGCATTGATTTTGTGTTAAAAGAAATCTGTAGCTCTGTTGCATAAGTATCTATGCTTTTGAAAGTCTAAAATTCTGATAGGAAAGGGGAAATGCTGGACCACAGCAAAACTCTGATGTTTGTGTTCAAACTGATGTTTTGTGTAAACAAGTCATGCTCCTGGATGGTAGCCTGTGTATGTGAATGCTTACCTTTTGTGAGCAGTGAAGACATGATGAAAAAGGTGCTCCTGGAGGAAGGACAGTGACAGTAGGTAAATGTCTGTCAGTGAATCGGGTTAGAAAGAGTGGCCACTTCAGCCTTTGAAGATCTTCCTTTCCCTTCTGAAAGATTAGGAGAGGCTGTTGGACTCTCAGGCACTGTGCTTAGAACACTTCAAAGATGTCCAAAAATTACAGTGGGACAACACCCAATCTCCTACTGAAAACCCTTTTGAATAAGCCACAGGTGTATCTGAAGGGCTAAAGTTCTAAGTAATGCCTCTGTGAGGATTTCTAGCTACTAGAAGCATCGACAAGCATCCTCTTCTCTCCAAGGAAGAACAGGACTGTCATCTCAGCTACTAGGAGTAATCTGGAGCTATTACATTAGTACAGTCATGCAGTGTTTTATACCCAGGAGAGCACTTCTGTACTTTAAAATCAAATTTGGAGCCAATCTAAATGATCATTTCCTCCAAGTTAAAATATCACTTTAAAACTGGCAGAGTCTGAGAGCAGCTTTTAGGGTGCTAAAAGTAGCATCACCTAATAGTTTCTGTCTTTCTGAAGTTAAAGAAACTTTCTTGATGCAGAAAGCTATATTTGTTTTACTGTTTTTGTGCTAACATCCATGAAGAATCAGTTCCTTTCGAGTTAATGCTTGCTCTGTGTTTTGTTTTTCGTACTTCTAGTTTATATAATGCATTTTAATGAATTTCCTTAACTGAAAAAGCTTTTGCACAAGGAAAAAAAATAAGTATTTCCTGTTTCTGGGCTCTGCAATGATACTGTCAGCCAAAGAAACACTCAATAGTGCCTTTTCCATGCGAATTCATTAATTTAATAGGAGGAACTGACAGATAAGATATCCTAGCTCTAATGTGGCAAAATTTAGTTTTCATATTGTTGAACAGATAGGTTGAAAATCAGTGTTCCAAGTGCTGATAGTAGATGGAACCTCATATCTATGCCATAAGCCATTGTAGTATTTGTATAAAAACTTGAAGCCTTCATGTTACAAGTTCTGTTGAATTTAACAGACTTGGAATTTAAGAAAAAACCTTTTTGTATTGCTCAGGTTATGCAAAAGTGACTATGTGTATGTTTTCACAATTAGGGGTATATAATTGCTTTACAGACGTGTTTCACCATCTGAAAAGTATAAAACATCTTCAGTGTTAATGAGTCAAAGGTTCTTAATTTTTAAGGAGCACTATGTAGTGTCCCTAACCTTCTCATTGACCTGGCTTGTCCTAACTCCTATCATCATTAAACATCAATCTCTTTAGCCAAAAGGTCAAACAGTCACAGCAACTACTGATGCCATAGTAATAGAATAAACATCATAGCAATTTTATTAACTTCTTTGCTTCTCCTTCAGCTTGTACAAATGAAATGGAAATGGAAGGTGGTGGAGAGGATGTGACATTTCAGGAACAACCTGTTACTGGTGATGGCCCTGATCAGGAATCAGCTGTTGGACATGTCCCAGAAGGTAAGAAAGGGTTTTGCACTCTGAGAAAATTCAATTCAGAACTCCTCAGTACCATTCAGTAAGGTCTCTAGTACTTTATAAACTTAAGGGGAAAAAGTGCCTAGAAAGCAGTAGGAGACATATTGCCACAGTTCTGCTATCTGAGCTCTCAAGCAAGAGTATAAACTCTTGCTGAAGAAGGATGTTACTGAGAGCAGAGGTACTCTTCAGAATATTTGTGTAGGAG